GCCACGTGTGCAAGTGCCTATAGAGGCCAAAAGAGAGCATCAGGTTCTCTGGAGCTGGACTTATAGGCAGCAGCAGCTGCTTGACATGAGTGCTTGGAACCAACATCCAAGCACTCTCTCCAATCCCAAAGATTAAGGGAAAAAAACTTACATTAATGTGAAATTATTAACTCTGTTCAAGTTGCCTGAATGCTCAAAAAGTATGCTGTTGGAAGTGAGGATGGAGGAAGACAGAGAAGGGATGCCTACTTTATGATAAGGTAGGAAGGTAAGCTGTATTTGGAGATCTCTAGACAGCAGAATGTTGAAGTTGATTCTTTTCAGAAGGCAGATGTTTATCCGTAAGTACTCCTCAGAACACAGCTTGGTAATCTGCAGGGCAGATGCCTGGGCACTTCTGTTCCCAAAGGTCATGGGGTGGGGTAAAAAGAGGGACACCTGACAGCTACTCCCACATCCGCATTCATGAAGCAATTCTGTATCATACTTATACTCATGGCTGACCACAGACCTTTTCTTCTGAGACACACAGCAGTCTATGTCTGTGCATGTTAGTCTTCCAAGTACTGAGATTTCACTACACCCATGAATGTGTGTGTGTTACACGCATACACATGCACATACTTACCTTGAAATATTCAGCTTGAGCTATGTTACCAACCAGGTCACTGTACCATGTTTTTCACAGTACACTGTATGCTGGTCTCAAGCCAGGTTAAATAAAAAGATATGAAAACTAAGCCGGGCGGTGGTGGCGCACGCCTTTAATCCCAGCACTCGGGAGGCAGAGCCAGGCGGATCTCTGTGAGTTAGAGGCCAGCCTGGGCTACCAAGTGAGCTCCAGGAAAGGCGCAAAGCTACGCAGAGAAACCCTGTCTCGAAAAACAAAAAAAACAAAACAACAAAAAAAAAAAAAGATGAAAACTAACTTGCTTGATGTCTAAACCGTTAGTACAGACTTTTAGAAAACAGTGCCCTCCAGGAGACCTGGGAAATTGACTCTGGTGAGCCTTGTGTGTCAGCCTTACTACAGGATATGGACCAATAACTATTTGATGAACATAGACAGGAATGAGTATGAAGAGATCCACATATTTCATAGAGAACATGCACCTTTTGAGGACCTCAGCCAAAGTAAGAGTAGAAGGAATTCACCCCACCAGCATGTCCTGTGTCTTATAACACCACTGCTTATGTGAGCCTTCTGGAGGAGAAGTTGGAAGGGCAGATTGATGTAAATGGCTTTGCTCCTACTGGTTCTGCTCTGCAACAGATCTCACCCAAATCTACAGCTTTTTCCTTTGAACTGAAGGAGGCAGTAGAAATGAGTCCACAAGATCAAAGCAGTTGGTAAAAGCACAACCACCAACCGAAAGGAGCATCCACTCTACTCCTTGCAAAGGCATGCTTTATCCCGCTAATGCTCGTCAAGACTTAGGTAAGTTGTGTCCTCTCTCCCTGGTTTGAGGACTGTCATGTTTCCACTTCTTTGTCTCCTTTTCACCAACAGGACCAAACATGTTTGCTGGTCACGTTACTAAATACTACATTGTAGATGAACAGTCTTGTTAAATAAGAAACACAGAGCCAATTGCAGAGTTAAAAGCCAAAGAGGTCAGAGCAGTAGCTGAGAGCTGAGCTTACCCTTAGCTGCCTCTGCTATCTTTACTCTCTGCAAGAGACCTACTTCCTGTGTGTTTGTCCTTTTTATTGACTTTCTGTTCTACCTTCTTATTGGTTGTAATACCAACCACATGACCTCCTCGTCACTGCCTGTCTGTACAGACCTCCAGGTCTTCTATGGTTGGTATTGAGATTAAAGGTGTGTGTCTCCATGCTGGCTGTATCCTTGAACACACAGAGATCTGCCTAGCTCTGCCTCCCAAGTGCTGGGATTAAAGGCGTGCATCACCACCGCCCAGCTTCTGCTATGGCTTGCTATTAGCTCTGACCCCAAGGCAACTTTATTTATTAACATACAAATAAAATTACATTTCAGTACAAATAAAATATCACCATACTACATAAAGCTCATTCTTGTTTCCACCATCCACAAATCTGCACTTAAATCCTACATCCCAAGTGAAAAACTGAGGGCGACATTCAAAGCCAACCCTCACTTCTCACATGATAAAACCCAGTATTCTGAGCCGGGCGTGGTGGCGCACGCCTTTAATCCCAGCACTCGGGAGGCAGAG